GGCGGGAAGGACCGGTTGTGCCGTTGCCGTGTAATGGTCGCTGAAAGCGTGCTTCTCCATGGCGTCGCTTTCCCCTCTAGGAGCGAGAAGGATGGACGACGCCGCCGGGGATTTGAAGCAGGCGCTCCCAAGCGTGTGTGACAACGTTCAGATACACGTGGAAGTTCATCAGAAATCAAGCAGGTCTCTCGGATGAGAACTTCCCCTGCGGCCACTCGTCTCTGTTGCCTCTTGTCCTACAAGTGGCACACAGCGCTCAGCTCTGCCTTCTCTGTGCTCTCCCATGGGTTCCCATACGGGTGTCTCTTCCTAAGGTTGAAGAAACCCATTTCTCTCAGCTTCTCCTTGTGTGTCTCGTGGTCCAGTCTCATAATCGAGTTGGTGGGCATATTCTGGACTTGCTCCAGTATATCGTTGTCTCTTGTACAGCAAGAGCCCAAAGCTGCACACAGTACTCCAGATGTGTCTCAAAAACATCCAGTAGATGGAAAGAATCACTTCCCCTAACATTTGTGTTCTTGCTAGCACAGCCTGAAATAAGATTGGCCTTATTTGTGGCAGGGGCAAACAAGACTCATTGCTAGTTTGTCCACCAGTAATCCTGCGTCCTTTTCTGTAAAGCTGCTTTTCATCCATTTGGTCTCTGGTCTGTACTGTTTGGGAAATAGATGGAGAGACAGGATTTCATGTTTACTTGTGTTGAGCTTCACGAAGTTCCTGTCTAACCATATTTCCAACCTGCAGAGGTCCCTCTGAATGGCAGCCCTGCTCTCTAGTATACTGACAGCTCTCCCTGCTTCGGTGTTATCCAGAAACTTGTTGCAGTGGCTTTCCATCCTATCTTCCAGGGTGCAAATGAACATATAAAAACAGTGTTGGTCCTAATATTGACACCACCACTCCACCTTTCCTCCACCTGACTTACTAGCAGCTCTGCTTTGTCTTTGTACTCCTAATCACAACACTTTGAGCTGGACAGTCCAGCCACCTTGTTATTCATTTATCCTTTATCTTACTAATGTGGCTATCTGGATACTATGGGAGACTGTCTCCAAGGTGTTCCTAAAGTCAAGGTATAAAATATCCACTGCGTTCTTTTTGTCAGACGTAGGAAGTCTGTCAGACTCAGTCCTCCCAGACAAGGAACGGGTAATGCATCACTGAAATTGCAAAATTAAGTTAAGGCCTTTTTGAAATCTTCAAATGGTATTCCTTTTTCTGTAATTTTTGTCTCTTCTACTGGGATTCTCCTTATAGTACATCCCCATCCTGAGGTATTGGCTGTCCTCAGATATGAAAGCATAATAGAGCTTCCAAGCTAAGTGTTTAGTCTAGTAGCTTGGCTATGAGTTTTTCTGGTTTTCCTAGTGAAACACAGTAGAGATTTCATAACTGATTTCCATTCCTGAAATCTATTAGCTGTGTCATTCCATGTCCCCTGATATGACTGCAAACAGAGCAAATAGTATTCTTTGGCTTGCGTCTTTTAATGCACAAATTAAAAACAAGTATCAAACTTGTTGCTTTTGGAAAGAAACTGAATTTGATAGGGTTTTTTTCTGCAGAATGTGACAGGGAGGGGTTGAGTGGGTTTGGGGTTTTTTTGTGTGTATTGGTTTTTTGGAGGTGGTTTTTTGGGGGGATTTGTTTGTTTATTTTGTGAGATGGAAGCTGTTTTCCATGTAGGCTTAGTGTATGAAATAAAGCACTCTGATATTAGTTAAATGCCATAAATAATGCTGTTTCTTTCTTGTTAGTGCGGCCAAGAAAGAAGATATCAGGATGAGTGTCTTAAAGCTGTTGAATAGACATAATATCGTGTTTGGTGATTACAAGTGGACAGAGTTTGATGATGGTTTCCTTAATGGCAATGTGCAGTCTGTGTCGATCGTGGATACGGAGCTTAAACTGAAAGACAGACAGGTATTCACAGTCAAGAATGTACAGCTCTGTTCATATGCCTGTGAGCTAGTGGCAGGTAAACTAGTGATAGCCTAAGGGCGTAAGCAAGACAAGGTCTATTGGATGATGTAGTATCTTTTATTAGGCCAACTGGTATAACCAGGAAAAGGTGGCTCAGTTTTTGGGCCTTAGTAAGGTCTGGAACAGACATACTAGGCTTCAAAGCTGAATGCCAGCTGAGAACTGTAACTTTCTTATGTTAGAATTAGCTTTGAATGAGAACCGTGATATATTAAAAGTCTTTTTATGTCCATTCTAGCCTATTGACTTGAGCAAAAGCAGTCTTTCTCTTCATATTTTTCATCTAAATGAAGAAGGACCAAGCTCTGAAAACCTGGAAGAAGAGAATGAGGATATCATTGCAGCTAACCACTGGGTGCTACCAGCAGGTACCCATGTGATGTTTATGGAAGGTCTAGAGAAATTACAATGAAAGAAAATCTTGGCAAGACTAAAAGAGTTTATAGGGTTACATGTTAAAGGAGTTATTTGCATATATTTTTTAACTTTGTCCTTTGTCAATGGAGCCAATGTATTTGGACTTTCTTCTTTATGTTTTTGACCGAACTACTACAGGTGATTCCACAACACACCATTTATTTCTGTAACATTTGTGGATGGGTGGAAGTAACTGATCTTGTGGAATAAAATGTATAGTCATAACCAGAAGCATGCAAATTTTTAACCCTTCAAGCTGCATTCCAAATTTTATTTGGACATCCACAAGAAATTAATCCATTTAAACATTCATTTTCCAGAGCCCACTGCTGGCTTCCAGCCCCCAAGACAGTGCTGCTCTTCTATTTGGACAAACAAAAAAAACTAAAGAGATTTAGAGTCCTCAGAGTGTCTTCTGAAAAGAAGAATAAGGTTTTGCTCCTCAGTAGAGTGTGGCCTGCCTGTTACTGTCTAGTGCTTGGGGAAGCTGGATTCTGTGCCAGGAAGGAGGAGTATAGGTGTGAGCTTAAGCTCAGAGACAGCGATTCTGAGATGTTTCTTACTCTTTCCATATTGTGTAAAGCCTAGCTATCCACTACATCTCGGGTATAATTCAATCTGATACTTTGACATTATTCCCATGCTATTGTGGTTTATTATTGTTCAGTCTTTTTTGCTTTTCTTTGCTGAAAGCTGGAAACTAGCTGCTAGAAATGACTGATACCCAAATCACAACTTTAGTTTTTTATGCATTATTCAGCTACATGCTTTTTTCCATTCTTTACATGTTGATGTAAAAAAAAAAAAAAAAGGGGGGTGGGTGGGGAGATCAGTGATGAAATTGGGCTTAGAACCCTCCTCCCACCCCAACTTTTCATACCTCTCTGTCTTGGAGAAATATAGGTCCATCCCCTATTGAGGGTGGAAAGAATTATATTTTTCCTTTCACGTTAAGAAATTAAGAAGATTAATTTCTCCTCACGATTATTTGAGGAAACAGAAGTTGTGAAACTGCTGAATTTGTCTGTTAGAAAGTAGTTTGCATTTTGAGAAAAATAACTTCTGTTGTCATATGTTTTAATTGCTCTTTTATATATGTTCTTGATCCTTAATTTTAGTTGAGAATAATTTGAAAACTGCCTTGTGCTGCAATGGTAGATTACAAGTTCCCAGATTCATTTATCCTAAACAGATATATTATATATTGCTTTTGCAGCTGAATTCCATGGCCTTTGGGAAAGTCTTATATATGACACTGAAGTAAAATCACACGTAAGTTGAAAATGAATAGCAAAATTACTTGAGGAGAAGTAAAAGCTGAAATATAGCCTATTTGAAGTTTGCTGCATCCCATGGAGAAGTTATTTGGAAATCATCAGAAGTAACCAGAGAGTTACATACTTCTCTGGTGTACACTTAACAAAAGAAGTCAGAGCAGACGTTTTGAGATTAAACATCATATCTCAGACATATACCAATATGTGCTACTGTGAAGTCAGCTTTGCCAAAAATCTGTTTGCCTGTGAAACTGGGTTCAGTGATGCTCATGCAACAAATTATAAAGAATTTCTTCATATGCATTGTCTTGTTTACAGAAAAATCATCAAAAGTTGTGATGATGACTGCCAGAGCTTATAGAACTGTAATAGTGTAATCTGAAATTTAGTAATTGTGATGTGAGTAAAAACTACAAGTGATTAAATTCAGTTGCTCTTACGACAGCAGTCATTATGATGTTTATTGTGCTTGTTAAAAAAAAAAAAATGCTTCTACCCAAAGCTTTTGGACACAAATAACTAATTCATTAGCTTGTTTATAATACCATAGATACCAATATTCCTACTTAATTGTTTATAACCAGCTATAGTAAAGTTTGAGTCTGACTCTGTGCTTGGGCAGCTTGCGTTTTAAAGACAATGGAAAATGAAAATAATTTCACTTCCTTAAAGCATTTCATTTATTCATGTAAGAGTTGTGGAACTCCATTTGTGCCCAGTACATGCTATTCTTTTTCCTGAGGGCAGGAAGGAAATTAATTTCCAAGTTTTGCAGGAAGAAAATTTGCCTATGACTTAAAGACGTGAACCCTTTTTTTTTTTTTTGTTACGAGTACACAATAGACATAATTAGGACATTGCTTCTATTTGTAATTATATTTGCTGATATGTCTAACTTGTGTGTCTCTCTTTCTGCTTTTCAATTAGTTACTTGATTATGTGACGACAACATTACTATTTTCTGACAAAAACGTTGACAGCAACCTTATATCGTGGAACAGAGTTGTTTTGCTGCACGGTAAAAATGATCTGTCTTAAACCAAGTAGATTCATTGGTCATCTGTTTATACTTTCTTTCTGGAAAAACTTGTATTGCACTCCTGTGTAGTGAAATTAGATGATCCAACAGCAGCAGAGAAGTAATCTCTCTGTAATAAAAATTTAGATGAAATGTAATGTCAGAATCAAATCAATGTTCACATGTACTATGTTTCGCAGGAATTTAAATTCTAAAATTTATAATGCAGTGACAATAGTTGTGTGGGGTTTTTTAATTTTCATATTTAAGTGATATGATTACTTTTTTTGTATAAAGTGCAAAAATAATGCAGATACTGAGGACATTAGGAGCCATATATTAGTTACAGTTCTATCTCAGTATAATAAAAAACTAGTTATGGCTTTATAAAAACTTCTGAGGGAACTGGGAAATCAATCTGTGTGTTGTGTTATTAAGACTGTGTGTTCTATTGCCAAGTATGAAGGCAGGACTCTAGCTAATTTAGTTGTTACTATTTCAGTGAAGTCATAATCTTCAGTCGGTCCTAGCTTACTGTGGAGATTATACCATAAATGAGATTAACGTGAACTGAATCAATTTTCTTGCAAAATGCAGCTCGCTATTGAGTAATTACAATTTTGTCACCAAGACTGGTATTCAAAAATAAGAGGTCATAGTGGAAATGGTTGTTATGAGTGTTGATTATATTTAAGTTATAAGTATTTATCAATTTAGAAGCTGCAGGATGTTTTTGTTTGGAAAAATATTTATTTCAGACTGTTAACAATATATTTGTTAATGATATATATATTTAATTTTAGTAATGAGCTCATTATTGTGCTCACAAAAATTTAATCCTGGGGAATCTACAACTGTTGTACATTTATGTTATAATGGCAATACTGGCTTTGAATAAAAAGTAGTCATCTAGTTGATGTTACTAGTTTGTTTAGCACCCACACATCATCTTCCATATATTCATACTCTGTTTAACTATGCTTGTACTTGTCTGTTTGGAGAAAGTCTGTGTGGCTCTTTCATAGGATGTCAAGCCAGATCTAAAAGCTTTGTCCCAAAGCATACTTCCTAAGATGCTCTGGGTTGCCCCAAGGTAGAGATTTCTGGGAAGGTGAACAGCTGGTCAAACTGGGCATGATGTGTTTCTGTTCTGCATGTTAGAAGAGTACGTTTCAGGAAGATACAAGTTTAAGCATAGCACTGATTTTTTGAGAGTGCTAATAAGCATAAGCCCTGCTAGGGTGAAAATACTCTGTGGCTGTTGAGTATTTTAACTGTATGGTATCTGCATACAAACTATTATACTAACTATACTAATAATTGAAAATTATATAAATTCAAAGCTCAGCTCTAGGACTGTAGTGGAGTAAGCAATCTTCTCAAACTACCCTGGTGTTCACAATCATTGTCTGCTGTGTTTTTATTCAACAATTAGTGCTGTAATGAAATAAAGTAGTTAAAAAGATGTTACATGTCATTAACAATCTGATGCAGATTCTGTGTAATGTATGGATTTGATTTCAAACCAGGCCCTCCTGGAACTGGGAAGACCTCTCTCTGTAAAGCATTGGCTCAGAAGCTGACAATTCGACTGTCATACAGGTGATAATTTAAAGAAGATTTTCACTTTAGTTTACCATTGTTAATTGTTCTTTTTCAGTAGCCCAAAGATATTTAATATTTGATTTCAAGTAATGAGTGCCAAGTGCTAATCTTCATAGTTCTTTTATAGTGCACCTGGCTAGCAATAATATTGATCTGATAGACAGACTGCTTAGGATATTTTAATGCTTTTTAAAATGTGTAATTATTTGTGATCAGGTATGTAAAACAAATTCCAGTGGCGATATAGGAATTTGCTTGTGCTCACATTGTACATTAATGAATGCTAAAGGACAAAGAATCACAGAGTATCGAGCCTGCTACTTGTATCTTCATGTTTAAGAAAGCCTGTTTTTAATAGGTAGTGATTTTGTAACCAATTTGTTTTGTACTTGGATTGCTGAATGCCACAGTCTGCAGAGGACAGTCAAGTCAGACAAGTAGTAAGAGTTAGCCTTAAACTTCATAGCAACTTAACAAATTTAGATAAATAAATGTTGTATAAAATACTTGTTGTAACATAAATGATTTATAATAATTGGAGTGATCTGCCTCTAGCCCAAGCTGAAATTATGATAAACATGGGCTATATAATGTATGGTTGAGATATTTTGTCCTAAGGATAGCCATGCAGAGCTAAGTAAATAAGTTTGCTTTTATATGTGTTCTTGCTATACTGAACAAAATCTTATATAAACAGAAGAATGAAGCCATTAGCGTGGTAACTGTTACTTAAACTGTATTTAACTAGCACCTGTTCTAATGAAGGAATTCGATAGCAATTTAATATACGGAATTCTAGTGAGACACGTTTCTGGAAATGACAATTAAACTCAAAACAGGTATTATGTTTTCAAAAGTAAGTAAAGTACTAATTCACAGAATTCCAGGGTTGAAATGGAGGGAATGAGACTTACGGGCGTTAATGTTATCACCGACCTTTATTTACAGTAGAGTTGATACTTCTTTTTCCCTTCATACTTTAGGTATAGGTATGGACAGTTAATTGAGATAAACAGCCATAGCCTTTTCTCTAAATGGTTTTCTGAGGTATGTATTGATGTAGTTAATTAAGAAGACTTTGTTTTAGAAATTACCCTTTTCTGTTGAGCTTGTTTCATAAAATAAGTGTGTGCACCAAAGATTACTCAGAATAATGTGTTTGAGAACACTTAAATAGAAGTTATATTAGAAAGTTACTTTAAAAACCAGGTATTTCCATCTTTAAATATGGTAAGGCTTCGAAGGTTGTGTGATAAGAAACAGTTAAATATATGCATATGGTGTCTCTCTAGAGTGGCAAGCTTGTAACCAAGATGTTCCAGAAGATTCAAGAGTTAATTGATGACAAAGATGCTCTTGTATTTGTACTGATTGATGAGGTACGATTCTAATAGCATTGATGTACATAAAATTTAGCAGAAAGTAAATTGATGTGAGGGAACTGTGATAATGCTCATCCATAAAGCATATTAAATAAAAACATGTTTTTTGTTTAAATTAAAGCATATTTATTATTTTTGTAAATTACATAACTTTGTGCAGAAGAGTGAATTTTAATCTTGACTGCTGCAGATTTGAGAGGAACACAGTATGATTTAGTAGGCAAATCAAAATCCAGGTGAAAATGAAGCAAAACCTTTCTTGGTGTAACTTTCCTTGTTGCTGTGTGTTTACAAGTGGAGTATAGTTTTAAACTTCGAAGTAGCCTAGATTTGTATTAATTGTGGTCCTACGTATATTGTAAATCTCTAAAAAGCGTTATTATGGTTCAGTTAATTGTCTAGATTCTCTTCAGACTTGCATACATAAGCAACTTGATAAGTATGTACCTTATTAGCTTTGTTATATTGGAGTTCCTATGGGGAAGCTCATTCTAAATTCCATGTGTTCTTTATTCTGGTGTGTGTGTGTGTCCAGTCTCAGTTCTGCTGTCAAAACAGGAATTTCACTCAGTACACTTTTCTTCCTTGACATTCCTTTCCTTCTCCCTGTGAATTCCTACTTAACAAAAGATTTTGAAGATGAAGGTTTAGATGCCAAATACAAGGATCTGAAGGTGTATTGTCTGGGTTATTTGCTTGCTGCCAGCACTCCAAATGTGCAGTGTTTATGGGTTTTTATGGTGTTTGGTGATAATTTTTTTTGTTGTTTTATTTGTTTGTTTGGTTTGGTTTTTTGTAGGTGGAAAGCCTCACGGCAGCCCGCAGTGCCTTCAGGGCAGGCACAGAGCCTTCAGATGCTATTCGTGTGGTGAATGCTGTACTGACACAAATAGATCAGATTAAAAGGTAAACTCATATTATTGCAACAGGAAAAGGTAATTGACAGTTTCAGGATTCTTGTTAAATTTTAATTCCTACTTGGAATATTAAACGAAATTGGTTAGTGAACTATTCTTTGTTAATGGTGCTGATTGTGAAAAGAAATAGGAGTAACCCAACAGAATATTTTGCATGTAACTGAGTGAACAATCAAATCTACAGATAGTATACTTCCTGTAAAGCTAGGGAGAGGTACAGGACAGATGATCATGATAGCTGCTTGGAGAGACAAGAATAAGATCAATGAAGAATTCATTCATTATTTACAGCTTCTTGATGTCAATCTAAAACAGGCTTGCAAAACATGTGGCTTAGAAGCAATCGTTAATGATGCTTTGTGTGCTGGATTTAGTGCAGCATACCATTTCTGGTTTTATTCCCTCCCCTTTCTGGGCATACTTGGCTCTGTTCACAGAAAGAAAGGTGCCCTAGTATTTGGCCCTGTCTTGTGGCTAATTAAAGGTAAGTGCCTTATTCATATGTAAAAGTTCACAGGCTTCATCTAAATATAGCTATGGTTAAGAATGCTCTTTTAATATTTCTTAGAGCAAGGAGATGTTACTTCTCTTTTAAGCTCACTTTAATGTCATCCACATTTAGAATGTGTCATATTGCCAGTTAAACTATATACTTTCTACTAAACTGAAATGGAAAACATGTAGAAAAAGGTTCAAATTTACGAGTCATCTTTTAATATTTTTTTTTTTTTGTGGCAGAGACTATGCCAGTAGGTTCTAGATAGTTAATGTATATCACTTCTAAAATAGGTTTAGAGACACTATGGACACTTGAGAAACAGCTGAAGGAAAGAGACTATGCATGGAAATTGATTGGTGGTTACTGGCCAAGAACTTCAGATCGTTTACTGTAATTGCTGTCTGACAAGAGTGATGTGACTGCTTATTGCATGAAATTGCTTGAGTCATAAGAAGGAAGCTATCAATTTGCTAGTCACAAAAGGATATAATTCTTGTACATGTGACCTACAAATGTGCTTTTATTTTGAAGGTATCCCAATGTAGTTATCCTGACTACTTCAAATATTACGGAGAAAATTGACATGGCATTTGTAGACAGGGCTGACATAAAGCAATACATTGGACCTCCCTCCACCGCAGCAATATTTAGAATATATCTTTCTTGCTTGGAAGAACTGATGAAGGTAATATTTTGAAAGAAAGTCTGTAAAATGTCCTATTTTAATAAATTTGACATTTTAATCATACTCCTTAAATAATAAAAATACACAAATTTCATTCCATCTCTGTATTTCCACTCTTACTGTAGAATTTAATTTTGAATGTATTTAAGTTTTTCATACAACAGTGTATAACTCTTCTTTCTAGTGTCAAATAATATATCCTCGACAGCAGCTTCTGACACTCAGAGAGCTAGAGATGATAGGCTTCGTAGAAAATAATGTGTCAAGGTTAAGCCTTGTACTAAAAGAAATCTCAAGGTAAGATTCTGAAATTACATTTTTTATATAAAATTAGTTGTGGAATGATGTATAGAAGTAATTGAATTTTGTAACAGCTAGAGTTCTGAAACTTCTCATTTTTTTTCTGTTAGGGTTATTGCAAAACCTTTCAGGGGACAAAAAGTGGAAATGATCAGGAGTTGCCAACATTTCTTAGTCTCAGATATGGCTTGGCCTAGTACTGCTTCTGGTTTCTGCTCTGCCCTTTGAAGTCCTTTTGACAGATTGCTGGCTGGCTTGGGGAGATGCCTTACGTTTCAGTTGATATTGTGAATTGTAATGCAGTTTAGTGGAAATAGTACTGGCCTTAGTTACTGCTAAGAAAGTGTCTCGGAATGCCTGGCAATCTACTAAGTCATTTTTCAGCATCGAGATATAAGTGGACAGAAGAAAAGGGGAAGGGGGTGACTTGTAAATGGAGAGTGTTATGATTTTTTGAGTATGCTAGTAGAGCAAATAGTCTTTCACTGCAGCATAACAATTCTTGAAACAATAAAAATTATATTCACAATATTAAGCAATGTATTTTCCAAAGTGCTGGTCCCTATGGAACAAAATAAACATTCATGAAGTCAGAAAAGTGTGTTTTCCTTCTGTTCCTGATGTATGCAGTCTTAACCAGTGAGGAGTGGAGTAAATTGAGTAAGTTTTTCCAGGTATAGAGGTTTGGGTTCTACATACACAGGGTAGTGCTTGGAGGAGATGGAAACATGTATCAAGTAGTGACATACAGGAAGCTGTGTGTAAATGGTGGGAAGAAGGACATAAGTAGTAGCCATGAGGTCCAACCTTCAAAACATATTTTTCAAGCGGAATGGAAGGTTATGTCTGTACCATACCCTTTCAGGGTAGACATTCCCTAAATTCATGAGATACGGCACAGTGATGTGAAGGGCATGATGTAAGTTTTGCCAGGCAAATGTGACTGTGCTCGTTCTGTACTGTATAGCCTCCTGTAGGCTGAAGTTGTCTGTTCACTTCCTGCTTTTGCTAAAAGTGCTGCAAGTGGCCTGCTGAATTGTGATTTGAGTTGTTTTAGAGCAACTTATGGAAAAAACACAGAAAAAGGAAAGGACTTAACTTTTAAGAGTGGATATTTAGCATTTAAGCAGCACTTGTCTCTGTTTTGCTATAGAAGAAGTGAAGGTCTTAGTGGCCGGGTCCTGAGAAAACTTCCTTTCCTAGCACACGCACTTTATATTCAAGTAAGTTTATTATATTCAAGTAGATTTATTCTGTTCATTATATTTTGGTTTGGTTTTGAGACAGATGGGAAGGTATTTGGACACTACCTGAAGTAAAAGATTGGACCTAAATGCCCCTTTTAATCTAAATTGCACTGTTTCTGTAGCTTTGTAGACTGAATGCTGCCCATAATTTAAAATGAGATTGACCTGCCCAACAGCATTCTACTTTTCATTAAATGTTGTGACAGAATATTGATGCTGGTTCTGTGA